CGCCCGAGTTGCCACTCGGGAGCAGCAGGGTAGGTGGTGCCCGTCACGTGCCGGAATCACCTGACTCGCAGCCACAGAGGGGGGAGGAGGAATCACGAGGAGGGCGGCCCGGCCGCGCCTCTCGCCGGGGTTCCCGGCCCTCTACTCAGAGCCCCAGCCCGCACGCACCTCGGTCCTGCCCGGCACGCGCTGTGCTCCCCAACGTTCCCCTGTCTTCTTTCGGGCTCCCTAGAGCTCCGAAATTGAAGATGCTCTTTGGGAATGTGGGGGAAGAATTGTCTTTCTCCTAAAATTGTACTCGTCCAGCCAATCTTTACTGATGCCTGCGATTGGGTACTCACTAAGGAGAACAAAACTGGAACTGACTTGGACCCTTACTGCCTTCCAGTCGCCTGAAAATTAACAGATATCGGACTTTTGCGTAAGTAGCCTGGGTACGAGATATTATATGGGGAAGGTCATAGGCACAGATAATGCTTGGGAGTTTGGACGATAAGGAAATCTATAAACAGATACAGATGGATGGATATGGTTGGGGTGTGCAAAGGTAGGGAGGAGGAGCCAGCCAGAGGGCAAAGCCTCATCAACCAAGGCGAGAGTCATGGGTCGATGTTAGTTTGTACTAGGAGGTAGCTGCTGGACTCTAACAGGAAAGCAGATGAGCCAAGCACATTTTGTTTTGTTTTGTTTTGTTTTTTAGCAAATCGTTTATAGTAGATACTACTGCCACTTTAAACTCTGGACTCAATTTCCCTTCTTTTCCATCTGGTTAAAGTCTACTTCTAAAGTAACTCCACCCCCCACACCCAGAACAGTCCATCTTCTACTATTTTCAGATTAGCAACCAAAGGAATAAACAATGAAAGCAAACCAAAACAAATGCTTGCCACCAAATGTTTTGCAAAAGCTAGAGGAATTTTCTTTTTTGAAAGTCAGGCTCTAGAACTGGAAATTTGATAAGAGGTCCCTTTTAAAGCACAGCCCTGTTCTTTTTTTTTTTTTTTTTTTAAGTGCAAAGGTGAGAGGTCCTAGTCTTCCAAGGAGAAGGGAATACACCTCCTGCAGGTCTGAGACTCTGCACCTAAAAGTAATGGTGGGGCACACCCTTAGAAGTAATCCGGCCCAACCTCCTACCTAAAATGAATCAACTCTAGGCTGGGCGCAGTGGTTCACGCCTGTAATCCTAGCACTTTGGGAGGCCGAGGCAGGTGGATTGCCTGAGCTCACAGGTTTGATACCTTGTAGCCTGAGCCAGAGCAAGACCTTGTCTTTAAAAATAGCCCGGAGGAGGGGGGGGCGGATAAGCGCCTGTGGCTCAGTAGGTAGGGCGCCAGCCCCCGAGGGTTGCAGGTTCAAACCTGACCCCAGCTGAACTACAACAAAAAAATAGCCGAGCGTTGTTGTGGGCACCTGAGTCCCAGCTACTCGGGAGGCTGAGGCAAGAGAATCGCCTAAGCCCAGGAGTTGGAGATTGCTGTGAGCTAAGATGCCACAGCACTCTAGTATGGAGGGTGACAAAATGAGACTCTTGTCTCCAAAAAAAAAACCAAAACAAAACAAAAAGAATCAACTCTACAACGTCTGTTACTGATGCAGAGGGTGCTTAAATAATTCCAAGGGAAAAGAGCTCACCATCTCAAAAGGCAGTCAATTCCACTGTGGTAGAGATTTGTTTAAAATGTCTTATTCCAGGCACAAATCACCTTCCCTGGAGCCTATGTTAGAAAATAGGAGTAATCTTCATCTTTTTTGTGAACAGTACTTCAAATAGAAAATTGCAGTCTTAACTACCCACTAAATCATCTTTGTTCCGTGTTAAACATCCTCACTTTCTTCAGCCATTACAGTGATTACAGCCATTACAGTGATTACAGTTCAATCAATAACCACTAGCCACATGTGGATTGAGCAATTGCCATGTATGGCTAGTGGCTACCATACTGGACAGCTCAGCCATATATAGTCAAAACCCTCTCCCTATTGGTTACTCTTCTTTATATGTATGCAGGCTTGTCAACATCCACCAGATGTCTGGCACCTGCCAACTAATACTAAAATACAGCTTTGAGGATAACTGGTTAGCATCTGAACAACACTTCTATTAAATGCTTTCCAGAGTAGAACTGATTTTTAAGTAGCCATAGAGTACCAGTGGTTCACAATAATAATCACTGGAATTAGTACTTTGTCAGCAATCCTAGTTAGTGCCTAAACTGCATTTTTTAACCTTCATATAAGACTTGATATGCCAATTTTTGGTTTGGGCCTAGCACTTTGGATAGACCAGGTTGCTAGCCATTTTAAATCTTGTTTTAATATAGTTTGTCAACCAGCCCTTCCAATTTGTGTTGTTTAAAGATTTGGCATTACCAGTCGAGGTGGGCGGATAGCCTGAGCTCACGAGTTCAAGACCAGCCCAAGCTAGACGGAGACCCCATCTCTAAAAATAGCTGGGCATTGTGGCAGGTGCCTATAGTCTCAGCTACTCAGGAGGCTGAGGCTAGAGAATCGCTTGAGCCCAACAGTTAGAGGTTTCTGTAAGCTATGATGCCAGGACACTCTCCCAAGGGCAACAAAGTGAGACTGTGTCTCAAAAAAAAAAAAAAAAAAGAAAGACACACCTTTGGCTGGGCATGGTGGCTCACACGTATAATCCTAGCACTTTGGGAGTCCAAGGCTGGTAGATAGCTCACAAGTTTGAGGCCAGCCTGAGCAAAAGAGAGACCTCCATCTCTGCTAAAAATAGAAAAACTAATAGCCGGGTATTGTGGCAGGTGCCTGTAGTCCCAGCTACTCAGGAACCTGAGGCAAGAGAATCGCCTAAGCCCAGGAGTTGGAGATTGCTGTGAGCTGTGACACCACAGCACTCTACCAAGGGTGATAGAGTGAGACTATGTTTCTACAAAGAAAAGAAAAACTGAGGCAAGAGGATCACTTGCGCCCAAGTTGAAGGTTGAAGGTTGCTGTGAGGTATGACACCAGGGCACTCTAACCAGGTGACAGCTTGAGAGACTGTCTCAAATAAAAAAAAAAAAAAAGATTTGACATTACTACCATCTGGGCTGTATGCAGACCTTTATGGTTTTCAAGGCACTTTTCCATCCATCATATTCAACTTGATCCTTACAGCAACCTTGTGAGGTAGGCAAGATGTGAAAGCTGTATTTTATAGATACAGCAGCTGAAGCTTGACAGGAACTTAAATTGATGGGACCCATTTCCTATTCCACTGATACTATCTTCATCCAAATCCTTGATAGAAATGTTGAGAGGACCTCCAGAAACCAGGACCCTTAATTCTTAAATAGCACTAACTTGCACAGGAGTTTAAGCAGATCAGTTTCACCTAAAATTATGATAATCCAACTTACATGTTGCCATTCTATCCAAAATGGTGGCACAAAAGAGTCATATGACTGACTGACACATAAATATTAATACTAGTTCCAACTGATAGTTGTCTGCCAGAAAAAAAACCCTGCTACTTGTCTATATTCACAGAATGTTCTTACCAGCTGCTTAAAGAAGCTAAATCTCCCTCTTCCAAAACCCTCTTGGTGCCATGTTTTACTCTTCTGGTTCTTAGCACATCCTAACGCACATTGTAATTATTTACATAAATGTCTCGTAACCAACTTCAAATCATTCATCATTATCACACTCAGCACTTGGCCCATTGTGTCCATGTAGGAAGCACTCAAATTGATAAAAGAAATCTACTCAAATCAATCTTATTCTAATAATGTCGCCCCCGCCCCGAAAACAAATCTGTGACTAGAAGAAACACAGCACAGACACTGCCACATTCATGCTAACATGACTAAAATGCCCTTATAAATGGCTTGGTCACAATCTCTAGCAGATGCCATGGCTTTTGCTAGTTAAGCCAGTTTTCATTGGGTCATTTTGTTTTCTGTGTGTGTTTTTACCAAAAAGTAAAGAAAGGTTCTCCAATAACAGGGATAGAATATGTGAAATAAGAATGCTTGCAAATGTTAGCCTATATACAAGGAAAGAAAGAAACAGTAAACCAAAACATCCAACTGTAGCTCTTCCAAAAGAAAGGAAAAAGGACTAACAAACAGGAATATAGCACTTTACCATTTACAGATCTTTCACATACATTCTCCTTTGACCCTCACAACAACCCTGTGAGGTAGGCAGCACAGATACTCCTCTCATTTAACAGATGAGGAAGGTGAATCTCAGAGCAGTGAACTGATATGCCCAAAGCTGTATATTTTGTGAATAATCTGTATTGTCATCAGTCTTTGGCCTAAAAATTCAGCACCCAACATCTCTTCATTACTTGCCCTACCTACTTCACAGGGATAATGAAGATAAAATGCATTCAAGTCTAGAAAAATACTTTGAGGGAAAAAAGCACTACATAATTATAGCCACAAAGTATAATTTTCCACAATATATGGCTCATTCTCCTTCTCATCTCAGCTTGTGCATGAACCCAGGATATTATATTGCCCCAATTCTGTGCTCAACTTAGCAAGTAAGGCAGGAGAATAGTGTGATCCTGTTTAAAGTTATATAAATTACAATCAGGGTAACTGCTGTTATTAAGCAAATTGAAAATCAGCACAGAAAGGCCAATGAGCATCTAGGACTCACTAAGCAAAGAACAAAGCAAGGCAAGATTATCAGACAGGGCATGATTGCATAGAAGGAAAATGTGGTGTCAGAGTCCAGACTGGCACACACATAGTTATCTAAGGCAAAGTGGTGGCAAAGAAGAGTTATTTGTTCTGCGTTATATAAACAAAAGCAGAAGATTCATGGGAACCCATATAAAAGCATCTTATGTCACACAGATCTCCCCAGCTGCCTAAAGAGAATATAAACAACAGTGTCATCTTCATTTTAAAAAAAGACTGTACCTG